CACTCCTCTTTTTTCTAGTTTACACTCAAGGACCCCCCCCCCCCCCCCCCCCCTTCCCTCCTTCCTTGCTTCCTTCCCTCCCTCCCTTCCTTCCTCTCACTAAACTGTCCCCATCTTCCCATCCCCCTCTTCCACTGACTCCCAGTCTTGTTGCATAGCTACCAGCTCAGAAAACATATTGGAGATGCAGGACAATCTGTCTGTCTCTTTTTCTCTTTCAGTCCAAATGTGGTTAATTGGAAAGGAAACACACATCACTTTGTTTCCATTTTGTCAATCTAAATGGGGTGTAATTTAGGGTTTATGTTTATTGCATATGGTGAACAGCGTTTATTCTAAGTGCTGTGCTGTGATCCTCCTCCTCCTCCTCCTGTCTCCCTTTTTGAGAGGAGCTGAAAGGTTGGCATTACAACAACAAAGGAAGGATGGAATGTCAACAGACTTCAGAGAGAAATGGGTTGAGGGGAAAACAGAGATGAGAACCAATGTGGTGTTTCCATCTCCGGCATCTGAAGTTCAAAACCTGTCACCACACCACTGGTCGGGGGTCGGGTGTTGTGCAACACTTGTGGCACATGCATACCCTGAAATGCTCTGAAACTCTGAGTTACAAATGCAAAATCAATACATCATGTTTAACAGTGAATTCAACTATTTCGAGTTCCTATGGTGTTACAACTCCCCTTCTTTTATTGTAGATTGAAAGAGGCGGTGGGTGTGGAGCTTCAAAAGGAACTGAGAGGATGTTTTGGCAAAGTGTTGGTGGTGCTGAGTGGAAGACTAGTGATTTTGTTGTGATGCTGATCAATGAACAACAAGTCCCAGTCTGCCTCTCAGCACAAGCAGAGCTCTTCAGTCCACGTCAGCTTCAAATCAGAATGTATTCATGTCTCAATGTTGGTATTGTTACTCAGTTTCCTGTTTATTCAACTTGAAAAAAAAAGAAATTATTGATTCATCCCTGCCTGCATGCCCCTATGTGACTGGACATTAATAAGCACCAACGTTACCCAACAAACTGCTATCAAAAGCATTGTTTAAGCAGGGTGCAAATGAAACTGAATCATGTACAATAAAAATTGCTCAAAAACCTAGGGGAACAACTTTCGTGATGGCATACGCAATATCTTTTTAACAGACTAAATAATATCCCAGTATTTAACTTCCTTTCCAATCTTTGATTCCACTTTTTTCCAATTATGCTACCCAAGTGTTCATTTAAATGTTTCATATTTAATCTGCATTGGACGTTATTTATAGCTTTTATGTTGGTCAAATAAAAGTTGCTAATAAACCTTTTTCGTGTGTTCCTGAATTTGATCACATCAGCACCAACGTGACAACATTGAATAAACACATATGAGCCACACCGTGCGGAGGAGATCCCAGAGAAAAAATACCCAAAGGAAAAAAGCACTCTGGTCTCTCCTGTTCTTGTGTCTCTACACACTATTCTCCTCTCAATTATTACTCCTCAGATGAGATGGCCTGCTGCCAGAAAGCTTTACCGATAACGCTATATCAATCAATCAATGTTTATTTATATAGCCCAATATCACACATGTTACATTTGTCTCAGTGGACTTCACAGTTTGTACAGAATATCAGTATGACAATACGACACCCTCTGTCCTTAGACCCTCACATCGTACAAGGAAAAACTTCCAAAAAAGGAAAAACCCCACAGTTTAAAGGGGAAAATGGGAGAAACCTCAGGGAGAGCAACAGAGGAGGGATCCCTCGCCCAGGACGGACAGACGTGCAATAGATGCCGTGTGTAAATCGAAAAGATAATACATTTTACAGTATAGGTAGACCAGATGTTTGGAAATGCATGTGTCTATAATAATAAGATGAATCCACGAGGATGTCAACAATTCTGTGGGGGCCATCAGGGAAGTAGTATGATGAGAGTCATGTCAGTATATGTGCAACACTTAGGGTTGAAATACAAGTGGACCATGTATAGGAAGGGTCCAAAGCCCTGTGGACCCCAGCAGTGGCCTCAGTCACTGTAATGGACAGTAGCATGCCTGTATAGCTTCATCCGTTTCTTCAGTGCATGCTTTGTATGTTTTTTGCTTTTTACAACAGCCAGGCCTTTTATGAGCTTTGTATTATATCAAAACAGATCTGAGCAATTTAAATCTAAAGCCACTAAGAAGTAAGATATGTCCTGCTCTCTGCTCCAGTGCGGGGGGAAAACTGATAATGTCAGAGGAGAAAATGTAACAAAGATGTGCAATTCAAATGCTTCAAATCAAGACGCTTCATCGTTACATCAGATTATACCAGCTGTGCTTAAATACATGAAAAGTAGCGAAGGTGAGCACAATTATTTCTGAGAAAAGGGGGATTTAAAAGCATTCGTTGAAAATGATGGAAAAGGCTTGAGGCTTCAGATATTAAAAAAATGAAAACACACCACACATAATCTATCTGCCTCTCCCTCCCTCAGGATACCTGCATGAGTGACCTGACAAGATCCCATTTTTGTTACGCATGGCAGCAGAATGCTTACAACAGTATGTCAGCCTCACCTCAAATGCAAAAAGCAACATTTATAATAAAAAGCACTATATTGTTACTTTAAATGTGACTAGATAATGCACTTTAATATTGCCTCAGCTGACCTGATACCAACATGTATTTGAATGATGAATCATCTTTATCTCACTGACAATAAATCATCTCACTGACAATAAACGTGAACAAATCTATTTTGTCTCTATCTTGTGTTAATAAGTGACAATGCTTACAGCCTCCTTCAATCAGAAAAGCTTGCATGGTTTTAATTAAATATGCATCGTGGCTGGTCTCATTCACACTGCTCCCTGTAAGTCTCCAGATTGGAGGCATGCTGGTTTTTCATATATAAAAACCAGGGACTGGCTTGTGTTGCTAAGCAACACAAAAGAGTCAAGTGCATTTGTTTATTGGCCAATAAGAATGCAGACAAAGTTTCAAGGTTTCAGATGAAGGTCCTGTAATAATGCAACTCACAGAAAAAATAGAGCGGAGGATTCTCTTACCAAGCCTTCATATGTGTGTATAGATGTTCTGCATTCAGACGTCTCCTTCAGAGCTCACACAGCTCTCAGCGGTTTGCTAGAGAAATGAAAATGTGATTCATTTATATTTGGTTTTCATCCCAGAACATAAACATTTTCATCATTTTCCTCTTGACAGAGGCTCTATACATTAAAAACTACTGAGGGAGTCAGCAGTGAATCTGATCATTGCATAATACACTCTGGCTTTGTTCTGGCCTATTGTTGTTCTCTCAATAAAGATATGAATCAAAGGAACACAACGTGTTGCTGTCCAGCCTTTTGTCCCCCAAACACTCCTGCCCCCCACAGGAAGTGGACAGCATCTCACAACCAGCACACATGAAGTGCTTTTAATCCTGTTTTAATCCTGAATGAAAAATCAAAGCTTATACGACCTTGTAGGAAGAAATGGTTTCCTCTGTCAAAGACACTTGAGTTCATAATGATTGTATCTGAAAAATGGCAGCAGTTGCCATGAGCCCCAGGCAGATGGTTTCACAAAGAAGGGAAAGGCTATAAAAAGAGTCATGGATGTGTAAAAGGAAGTGCACAACAGGTGACACATTGCATCAGACACATTGTGGAGAGCACAGACCTTGTGTAATGCATGTACTCTCTCCTCGTTGTGATTACTATCTGGGCACACAGCCGGCGTGATGGTATGCCAACTGTCCCCCCCGCTGTCTGTACTGGCAGCCGTCAGCAGCACCCATGGCACCTCGGAGGGACTCTGGGGGAGGGAGAGCCGTCAGCATGTGGCTGCATGAGGAGGAGCAGAATCAGGAAGGACATGTCTGCTCCATCAAAGCACGGCTGACATTTGATGAGCAGACACGGATCAAACCTGTTATCAGACATACGCTCCACCTCATGGCAGATTGTGCTTGGCATTAAATAATTACAAATATCTAAGCAGGGTTATCTCTTACCTCTTTCTGTTGATTATAAATCATTTACAATACTGTAGGACAAAGAATAGCTGATTACAGAAAATAGGGAAAAGCTATTTACAACCAAAAATAGAGGCATTTTGCATTACCTGAACTAGCCCACTACAAGAATGGCAACAATTATCAAAAACAATATGTTGAATGTACAGCCTATCAGAATGAAAGTGAATGGTTTCTGTTCCTCTGATTTCATGGCCTTTTACTTTAGAAAGCAAATGAGGAATCTGAATATATTAGGCTGTAAGAAAAAGGCAGTTATCTTGTGAGTTAGGCTACTTCACTTTTTAAAGCACGACATCCATCACTGATTGTTTTTATTTAGGTTACACTTATTATTTAATGTGTAGTTGCCAGTTTTTTTTTTAATCATATCTTATCTTGAGCTAGATGAGGAAGACAGGTAACTCATTTTTACTAGGAGTACACTTTTGGAACCTAGTCAAAGCGCCTCTAGTAAGTCCTAATTTAGATGTTATTTAATTCTTACTCTTTATTTGTTTTTATTATGTATTTTTCAACATCTGGTCCTAACTTGTATTTGATTATTCTTTTGTTCCTTAATAGTTTTAATTCACACTTGGTATTATGTGTCAATTTTATTGAAATAATGTGTTTCTTCCTTGAGAGGTCAAGGAAAGATGTCTATCAGATAAAGTAATCATATAAAGAGAATAATTTAAGTTACATTCATTACAGACGTAGGGCCCACTTTTATAGTAACTATAATGCTCTTCACATTCTAAATGGGTCAATAGGCCAACATATCACCAATATGTAAATACAAATAATACTGATGAGAGATTTGGATTATGAATGAAATGTAGTTTACCATCACATAACCTCAGACAGTACAATCATCTGATCAAAGGTTTTTCCCGTTAAATGGATGTAGTGTAGTAAAACCATGGTGGATGTCCTTCACACACATTAGCTAAATCTACCCAAACACAAACAGCATTCATAACTAATGAGAAAATAATTTCCAAGCAGCTTTGTATAATGTTCATAAAAATGTGTATTATATTTACAGAACATAACATATTTAGGGTCACAATGAACAATATGTTGAGGCCTGAATATAGCATATCACATCATTCATGTTTTTGGCAAATAATAAAGACGTCAGTCCAAAAACCTAAACAATGTCGGAAGCCAATTTGAACTACAGAAATAATGTGTAGCACAAACACCTTTTATAACAACTTGACACCAACATTATTTTCATATATTATCATAATGTAGAAAACTTGCAGTATACATGATGAAACGGAACAGGAATATGATACACAACTTCTTTTTTTATTTTGACTAATCTGTGTTTTCCAACCATGATGGTGAGACAGTCAAGTCTCATAATGGCCTAAACACTGACATCATAGTTCACTGTGACTTCTATTTTCTTCAAACTGAGGCTTACCCAGTGACACATAAAGCACAGACGTTTTGCACAAATGTGACCAGCAGCACAGCCGGATATTCCAGAAGACATAAATAGGACAGGCATATAAAAGTCAAATGAAATAGGAGTAAAACACAGAGGTAAGAAAGCTGAATAATTTTAATTTACGTGTTGCTTACAAAAAGTATGAATTTGAAGTTTGAAAGTTGCACTAGCTGCATTTTATCTGCTGGGCTATACAACCGATCTCAAATCAGTTTTTATTTACATTGAAGAGGACCCAAGAGTCATACATTAAGGTCAACATAAATTCTAACTGGAAGAAAAACCAAAAACCAAGGTGTCTGGTGATGTGAGAGTAAAAGGAGACTCTGGAGGCTTAAAAAAAGAACAAAAACAGAATAAGACGGGGCTTCTGATCTTCGGCACACTGCCTCCTGCTGGAAGAAAACTGAAATCTGTAACACTTCACAGGTAACGGCAGGTCGGTCAGAGACGAGCCAGTCAGTACTAGGTGGTCTTCACCAGATCGTAGACGTGGATGTGGACATCATCGTCATATTTGATGTAGTATACTGTGGGCTTAGCTGGGACCTGGTAGATAACTAAGCCCGTCCTCTTCAGACCGTTATCTGTGACGTATTCCACCTGCTTACCCACAAGGCTCTCTGGCTCCTCACCCGGCTTCCTGTCTGCTGGCAGCAGGTGTTTGTTCTCTGAGGAAGGATAGCAGACCGACAACAGACATATAAGTCAGAGAAAGATAAAATAAGAACAATGCAGAAAGAGTAGGGCTCGATATTGCGAATACTAGTAGGCTGATTAAGCATTGGTACGGAATGAGTACGAAAAAAAAGTGTCCAATCACTTTCTTTCAGGTCGAATTAATGATTGGATAGACTGAATAAAGTCCACCAATAGCCACAGATACTGGATATGTTTTCTTTTTTTTGTCAGTGCATTATGTCACTGATTGCTGTTGAGAATGTTGACAAATATAACAACAAATATTTCTGAAATGCATAACCCACCCTGCCTTTAAAGGGTACTGGTATTTGTACCATAATCACATTATTTGTAATGATATACAGCCGTTAGAAGCAGCAAGGGATTTCTTGTATGGTTTTAATGTAGCCAAATTCAAAATGAATCCCCAAAAAACTGCGAGATTAAGATGGTAAATGATCTACAATTTGAGGCTGAACCTTGTACCCAGTGTATTTATTTACCTCTTCTTGTCCTTGTAGATAACATGCGTCTTCATGATAAGACATGAGTAGCTATAACAGAACATTCTCTCATGGTATTGAATCAAGCAGAAACTCTGGACCAAATGTTGATAAAAAACAAGAAGGCGGAATAGAGAGTGTATTGTAATGCTGACTATGTAAATGAGTCCTGTTCTCTTCCTCCCACCTTTTCAGGAGCATCTGAAATATAAAGCATTAGGCTCTCACACTGTACCTGACTCAGGCAGGACACGTAGATCTCCGTCCTTGTAGTCGTCCCACAGCTGGTACATGTACAGCACCGGGTCCTTCTCGTAGGTGATGTAGTACCAGTGGGTCATGACGGGGGCTCGGGACAGCACCATGCCTCGCCACTCGTTCTTCTCACCGCCCTCCTTCTCAAACAGATGCTCCACCGCCCGGCCCACCAGCTCCTCGGCCCCGGGAGGCACCTTGATCTTATTGTTCACTGCAGGAGAAAAAACATTTGTTTATTTACTAATGTCACTTATGCTTGTGGAATTTGCACATTGTACTTTTAGTGATAGGATAACTAAACTAATCTTTCAAAAGCTGGCAAAGCACTAATAACATTTAGAAAAAGCTACTGACAGACTATAAGTTTAGCTTAATATCAGCTTTATATTGGCTCACTGAAGTATAGAAATCTTTTCAATTTAAGAGAACAAAAATGTTACGCTGATACATCGGATAAGACAGATTATTTGCACAAAAAAATATTTAGTATCGTCTGGGCTGTGTCTGCACTGTCACTGTTATCATTTCAAGTGTCAACCTGTTACATTCTAAGACAAATTATTGTCTATTTGGCTGTTTTTTTACGACCCATTCATTCATACTTGGGCACAAAATAAGTGATATGTTTCATGATGTATACCACAGCAGTAGTTTATTTAGAATAAACAAAAGAAGAGTTAACATTAGCACAATAGTCGTCACACTAGAAGAGAAAAAGTATAAACACACTACCCAAGAATGAAACTGCAAGATTGATTTGCAAAGTAATCCTAGAGGTACTGAGAAACACACAGTAAATGACTGGGACCAAAGTAGTAACCAAAATAGAAAAGCAAAAAATACCACTTCTCTGTACTTGTACACCAGGAATGGAACTAACAAAGGATTTCATTATCGAAGATCGTACCAGTATTTTCTCGATTAATCGTTTGGCCAATAAAATGTATAGAAATACAAATAAAAATAATAAAAATATGCGCAAGGTGATAGATGTATTGTTTTGTACGACCAGACACAAAGACATTGAGTTGAATAATTTAAAAAACCAAGTGAAGTTACATATTAAAGGGGCTGAAAATAGTATTTTCTGCCATTTTGGAAGGAAAAATTACTTGAACAATTAAGTTAATCAAAATAGTATTATTATTCTTTCTCTTTTTTGACGAATTGAATAACTGTTGCGTGTGATAGACGTTAACACACTCACCAACTTTCTCTGCCAACACTTGCAGGTTGGTCACCCGGTTGTCTTTGAAGAGCTCGATGCCGTACACGCAGTCAAAGCCGTCATATTTGACCATGTAGAGGGAGGTATTCACAGTAAGGCGCTCCAGGACGGTTCCTTTCCACTTGGTCACGTTCCCCTTCTCCCTCCAGGAGTGCTGGATCCTTCGGCCCAGCAGGTTGTCTGGGTCTGGGCTCAGGGTCGCCGCCGAACTCTCACTCAGCTCTCCACTGCTACGCTTCCTGTGAACATCGAAGGAATTAGGCTATATTTATATTAACATATAGGTTGAAAATCCTAAGTATTATGAACCTTTGTGGGTACTTTTAAGCTTTGAGTTAGTCAATCAATATTAGTTATGTTGTTATTTGAGTGAGGCCGTGTCCAAAAATCCAGGGTGCCAGATGAGTACTATTGTCCTAAACTGTGAAATGTTACATATGCACACACAAGTGTCAGGCTTAGGGGATCGGTGAGTTACAGCAACTAATATCAGTGATCTTTTTATCATTATCGTTTAAATTAAGTCTCGCTTTAGTGCCTCTAAAGGTGCCATTACTTAGACTGACATATGTAGCCTTTGTGCTTAGATGTTATTTGAGTTTGGCCTGTGAACCTGTAATGATGAATTTGCCCAACATCTGCAGGACATAGACTTCACGATGTGTTTGCAAAAATGGTGCAGAGAGCTGAGTAGAAAGGCTTTATCTGAGTATACATTGTGCTAATGAAGTACGACAGATGTGACAGATTTTACAGGCGATAAAAGCATAAGCCAAACCTACATAACATAAACCAAATACATAAGCCTAATATGCCTGTATGAGTTATAGAGAAATCATAATAAAATCTAATTATGTATTAAAATGACAATGTACTCAATCCTAATTTTATGGAGCTTTTTGGAATGTTTTATCTAAGTTTCTATCCTTTTATATAGTTACATCCAAGCTATATTATCAGCACAGACAATTGACCATTGTTTTGTTGCTGCTGAATACATTCTTCCTGATACAATTTAAAGAATGCTCTAAAGGAGTGTAGCCTACTGTTTTTGTATTAGTTTTTTTCTGGACGACAATAAATGGACTGCAGTATTATTGTGCCACATTGGGTTTTTCATAATGGAAAAAACGTATCCTTTAATCCTGATGCTGTCACACACTGTAACACATCAGGGTCAAAGGGAAGTCATGCTGTGTGATCCTACCTGGCCCGTTTTTTTGACATGTTTCCATCAATTCACACGACCCTGTGAAACAAAAGACAGTTCCGTTAGTGAATATCAGAGGACTTTTCCACTTAAATCTTAATTAAAAAATGTTTAAGAAATAGTTTTGAGCAGACTTTGGTTACCCTGCGCTCAGTGAACCACATTCAATGCAAATGAGTCAACAGACCCGCTTTACCGGATGTAAACAACATCCCAATGCTAATGCTAACTATCTTAGCTCAATGCTAATAAAGACTACAGGTATACATTTACACAGCAACACATATGGCACATTAATATGTAACTTCCTTACCGGGTCTAGCTAAATGTCAACGTGTCGAGTGTCCTCGGGAATGTGTAGCTACAGTGAGTCTAAAATAGGAAACAGCTAGGTAGCCGACGTTAAGGAAGCCTGCTAGTGTCTGTTTGTAATCTTTTTAATGAGTAGAACTCTGAGAATGTGGTATTTCTACACATAAGCTAGCTGAACAAAAGGAAATGCATCGCCATGTAGAACGCTGATTCTGCACACTGGTTATAGCTTCTAGATTAACGGACACATTAAACACTGACCGTTAATTAACTGAAATGTTTAATCCGAACGACCAGATCAAAAGGTGCGAGCCGGCGGAATGAAGCGTTTGCCCTACCTGATCAATAATTTCACATGTGTTTGTCTTTGCAGAGCAGATTCCTCCACCTAACTAACGAACGCTGGATACACGGAAACGACCCCGACTACAAGTACCAGAAGGAATTTGCTGCTCGCAAAACACTCTGGGATTTGTAGTCAGTGTTATGTACTGCCTTTTGATTTGGATCACACTCTGGTGCCAACCTTTACACCACCCATTGTTTAATTTATTTATTATTTTATTTTTCCAGTTTGATATTGAAATTATATGTTATTGTCCTCTCTTTTAAGATGTTTAGGTTGTCGTGAAGCCAAGAAAGCCCAGACACTACATTTCCCAGCATTCACCGCATTCAAGACCACATTTTCCCTTCAATCATCGACTGCTGGACATTTCTACGTAGCCTAAGTAATAATTACAGTCACAGCAGGCATTTCTAGAATAATTTAAGAGATTATGAATGATATTAAAGATGACACCCAGAAAGACATATGATATTCATGTCTTAATGACTTATTTTTTTTTACGGCATAGGCTACATGGGTTTCTACCAGGTTTCTACACATATCTTGTTGGTCGGTAGCTACATTCACAAAATAACGTTAATTTGTTTTTATTTGTATATTAATACTATTTGAGAAAGTCATAGCTAGCTTTACCCAACTATTCCTACATAATAATAAACACCTCAACAAATGATTTATAGGCCTATTTGGAAGTTATACTGAGGGAGAGGTGGACTTGTCTTGTAGCTGAAATGCTAATATCCTCCACAAGATGTCAGACTAAACACAAGATCCCTGCCACAGGCTCTTTCAACAGACCTCAGATGATGGACTGACCAGTGTGTGGAGTGAATGATGCAGTACCCTTGGGGGCCTGTCTGACAGCTTTTTCAGGGTAAAAGCTTTTGGTTTTATCTTGTGCCAACCCACCTGTGTGTGTGTGTGTGTGTGTGTGTGTGTGTGTGTGTGTGTGTGTGTGTGTGTGTGTGTGTGTGTGTGTGTGTGTGTGTGTGTGTGTGTGTGTGTGTGTGTGTGTGTGTGTGTGTGTGTGTGTGTGTGTGTGTGTGTGTGTGTTTATGACTCACCTGTTTTGTTGGAGTGAATAAAAACACTGCATAAATCTTAACCTCCTTTAATCTTAAAGCAATCAGCACTTAGCGGCCATAAACAAATTTGATTGTAGTTATATTTCTTTAAAAGACATGCTTTGTTTACATGTCATTTATCTAACCGTGCCTATCATTCATTTGTTCATGTCTCATTCTTACATTTTAGTATAAAATCCTGGTGCATGACTCATAACTACAAATTATAACTTGTGATGGTGTTTGCTGTTAATTCATATCTTTGAGATCATTATGATTTTGCTGACAGAGTAACGTCTATGAGGACAATGCACTTCCCTCGGGTCTCTGGCAATGTAGATGTTTGTGGCGGAAGTTTTAAAGGCAGATTCAAGTATTTTTAGACTCATCGTATTTAAATTCTAAAACCTTTGACTAAAAAAGGAGATAAATTATTAATTGCCCCAAATATTATTCCTGGCTTTGTGAATGCTTTCCAAAAACTTTAAGACCTTCATGTTAAGGATTACAGTCTACATAAACAGAACAGTTAGCAAATTAATAAATATGATAAATCCAAATAATTTGACTTTCTATCAGGTCCACATTTCGTGATGGGGATGAGAGGGATGGTGGGGGGAGGAAGACCTTGGCTACCCGGTGATCATGATGTACATCTGCCTTAAAAGATGGGTGAACCTCTCTGCAGAGAAAGACAGGTCAATGTATTTTGTTTCAGGTTAACCTGACCTACCCTTCTTGAACTTATTATCAATCAGCCACTCAAGGTCTTAACTCAATTGCAACAATTCAGAAACACTTTGCTTCAAACTAGATCTATTAATTAGATACTATTACCCACCAAGATGCATTTGTACTCTTCCATTAGCAGGCGTGGTGGTCTGGGTGGTTACAGTCGTGTTTTTCTGATTACAAATTTCACATTGAAACAGTTTGACCACAGATATGTCAGATTAGTTCAATACAGATGGAAAATCTTGGAGGTGTGAGTCAGTGCTCTGTAAAGCTGACAGCCTTCGGGAGAAAGCTAGTGTTGTATTAACACAAAGCTGTCCGGCCTCCAAGGTTGCCTCTTCTTATCCTTGTTGTTGTCACAGCAACAGAAAAAGTCTGGATGTTGGAGAAATGGGCTCGCTTCTTCTCTTTTTGTAGTGGTTACATTTAGTCCCATGATGCTCTACAGCAGGCAATCAGTACATCGGTGGAGATCACTCAGTGTTCTGGGCAAAAGGAAGTATGGAGGGACACTGCAACCCAGCACATTCACAAAATGGTTACACTTCTGGCACTTCAATGTGATGAATTATACCTACTGTCTTCAGTTGCTAGGCCACAGAAAATAAATCCTTATGTCTACTCATCTGTGACTGACATCTTCTGCTGCTTGCAGGTTTCTCCAGCGCTGCCATCTGAGGAGAGGAGCCCGCAGCGGCCCACTCCCCTGGGACTCCTTGAGAATACCATCTCCAAAAATAGAGGTCTCCTCCTCTTCTTCCAACTGTTCCGCTCTTACAGGTATCTGTCGCTCCATTCACATTACTGGTTGGGACACACTCACACACCATTGACACACACATGATTTGCTCCTGTTGAGAAATATTGTTGATATTTTTTTGTCAAGTATTGCAAGGAGAATGTACAGAAAGTCAACCCAAGGTTAGTGTGTGTGTGTGTGTGTGTGTGTGTGTGTGTGTGTGTGTGTGTGTGTGTGTGTGTGTGTGTGTGTGTGTGTGTGTGTGTGTGTGTGTGTGTGTGTGTGTGTATATATTGATTAGATATTTCTATTATTAGCAACATATATGCAACCTGAACTATGGTAGCTATAAAGGGATGGCATATCATGTCTGTATCATGCATGTCTGGAGGTGAATTGAACTTGACTGTGACAAGTGTCTGTGTGTGTGTATGTGTGGGACATATAAGAGCAGTTGTTGCTGTTTTCAGCGTCGTTAATTATCAGGGTTTCTTTTTCTGTCTGGATCACAGCTCAACTTCCTCTCTGAAGAAGTACGTGGCAAAAGAACACAATCGACAAAACCCTTAGAGCCAAATAAAGAGCAAAGACATGTATTGCGATTTGGATTATGAAGAATTGTTATTTTAAGTCACAGATAGAGAACATAACACATGTGTGTACGATAGGCTGCTGGCTATTCCTGTGTTTTCTTTTATGGTAAAATGAAAGCTAATTCCCCTTTGGTGCTGAGATTGTTTCACATGTTTAATCTTTGAAATTAGTTTCCAAACAGATCTATCTGTCTATCCCTGGAGAAATTGTATCTATGCAGAAGTGTGAAAATATAATTTCTAGACTTTTCACAAAGAGCTTCACACCTGCCTTTGGCTTCTGATCACTCTTTTGCTTAATATTCAGTTAAATACATTTAAGAGTCCACATTCACAACTTCTGGAGAGAGAATGAATCTCCTTTGGTTTGCACGTGTGTAATTTCATCATATGAAACATGTAATGATTAAGTGTTGTATCCTCAAGTTGACAGTTTGGGTCTCCCTGAGGTGTTTTGCTTTGATTTAACAAGTCCATAGCTAATGTGTGAACATGCAACCTACAAGATGAATTGGCCCTCGTACCTAAAAGGCAGTGGTTGGTGTTTTCACCTTGAACCGTCTTCTGATTAGACATAATGGGGATTTATCTGGTCCCAATGTCAGCTGGTTATGATCTTGTCAGCAGCTTTCAATTATCTGTAGGGAGTCAATATCTGTTAAACTTTGAATCAAGAGTTTATCTATCTATGTATCTAGTATAGATTACTTCAACAACACTGTCTTCAATAAAAAATGGCTGATGCCGCAAAGTAAAAATAGTGCCACACAAATGACTACATGATTAAAAACGGTCCTTTAGGTAGTCTTAGCATCTGCCACCCAGCACTTAACCATAACACTAAATGTTTCAATGTAATTATATCCAGTCGGTGTGATAATAAGTAAATCCTCTCATTAATTGGGTCTTAGGATCGTGTAGCTCTTGCTGTCACAGCTAATTGACCCCAAGTATGAGGTGGAGTACGTGTGTGTGTGTGTGTGTGTGTGTGTGTGTGTGTGTGTGTGTGTGTGTGTGTGTGTGTGTGTGTGTGTGTGTGTGTGTGTGTGTGTGTGTGTGTGTGTGTGTGTGTTGTGTCTGTGTCTGTGTCTGTGTATGTGTATGTGTTTGACATGGGATCTCTTGACCCCAATCAACCGAGCCAGACCATATGGAAAGTGAAGCATCCTATTGGTCTCCATCGTGATTGCACTTGTTCCATTACCACTTAGTGTGGCAGAAATTGGATATATGAGCCATTTATTCACTACTTTATACTTTATGTACTGCTCATTCGCTAAATAGTTTTCAAATACTCTCAGTTACATTGGTGTATAAGTGTGACGGTTGATGCAGGTTGATGCCGCCACTGATTTTATTGTTTACTTTGGGGGCAATGCAAGCCAGCAGTGAACACAACCTATATGGCGAATGTGTTAGCAAACAGTTGCTATTTGTAGAAGCAGGAGGTACAGAGCAACTTCTCTCATATATTCGGAGTTGTGTTTCTGGTGACCTGATGTAAGCAAGTCCAATATTACCTCTCCTCTTAAGTGTTTTTTCTTTAGTAATGAACTCCCATGGGAAATATCTGGCTTGTTTGCTGATAAATGCTATGTTCCCCATGCATTGTTTGCCAGCAAACTTTGTTTGTCTGCTGTTTGTCGCTGTGCAGGAAAGCTACAGTGGTGTTTTAGAGCTTTTTACCTGGAAACAGCAGCTCGCTAAAATTGATTTAATATTCCACTTACTTGCTGATTATATCCTAAAAGTCTTAAAGGTCTCCTATCATGCAAAATGCACTTTTTTTTATGTCTTTTATACATAAATATGTGTATGAGACATGGCTAGAATGGGTAATCTTTTGGTATTTTGAGCAAAACACTTCATAGACATGTTTCTTATACATTTTTATATATCTGAGACCAATAGCATGATAGGAGATCTTTAAGTAACT